CAGCACTGATTGTTCTCAACAATGATGGAAGTAAGATATGGTGCGCGTATAGTCGGCCATTATTACGTTTTGAAAATTTCAGAAAAATCACTCGACCGCCTACTATGATTTCTCTACGTCACAACGAGCGAGACGTTGATTCTACATTTTCCCGCTAGATGGTGATGCTGCTGCTGCTGTGACGAGTGAGAATAAAATGGCGAATGGCATTTTAGGTACGCAGAACATACGTAACAGTGGGATAATTCAATTATGAATTCGAAAAATCTGCGACAATTTCAAAACTGACATATGTCATAATTTTGCAATGTCGCCATCTATTAGAAAATCGAAGGTCGACGGCACCATTGCTCTCGCTGTTCTCGAGAGGTCGAGTAAAATTTCTGAAACAAAAGCGCATCAGTAGTTACACCATATCTAACTTCCATCATTTTCCCGACCATCGATCCTAATAATTCTAACATGTAATACCAGCGAATTCCCGAATACATATCGTGGCGACGGAATATTCTCGAAACACTCGAAACAATAGATGAAACTTTTAGAAAGAGAGGCCATATCATAAGAACCGTTATGAAAGGGTTTATAATGCTATATAATTATTGAGGAGCCCAGTGGCGTAACTAGCATTTTTTGGCCCCAGCGCAAAATACATAAAGAGGCCCCCCCTTTCAATCTCAAATCACGAAAAGTAAATGAAAATGAAAGAACGAGCTCTATTTTCTCAATCTAATCTATTTTATATATAACTTGACAAAATATTTCTTCGCATATCAAATAAAAGCAAATTTTGAAGATTACTTCGGCTTCAGATCTCCTGATTTTGAAAGATACCCAACGTTCTTTTTTTATCAAAGAAGAAAAATGAACAAACTAACTTCGAATTTATACTAACTTATTGAACGCTAAAATTATTTTCTTCTCGCTTTATACATATTGAAAATTCAACAATTAGATTAGCTAATGTTGAATTCGTTGGCAGCTTCACTTTTGACAGAAATTAATCATGAACATTTCAATCGCTCTTGCTCTATTTGATTTCTTGAATAGCTTTTGATGATTATTCCATTTTTTTTGGGATTTTCTCTCCTCGTATCTATAAAATAAGAATATGAATACTATTTCAATATACGTGTAGTCAGGAGAGCCTAAAAGAAAAAGTCACGAACTTGTCAGTGACAATTTGTATTGAAACAGGTTTGGAGAAGAGAAATAAAGGCATATAGAAAAAATATCAAATTTTCACTTATCGTTGGACGTTTCGCGGAACATTCATTGATAAAACAATGTTTGTATTGGTATAGATACGTAGATGACGTTATAGTATGCCTCAAATGGACCAATAGACAATTAGACACTCTTCACGGCGAAGAGTGTCTAATTGTGAAGACTTCACCAATATATTAATACTATATTGATCCTAACATAAAATTCACAATGGAAATAGGAACAGGGAAGTCAATCAATTTCTTAGATTTGACAATAAATAAAATCAATGATAAATATAATTTTTCAATTTTCCATAAACCTTCCCACACTGATTGTTCCGTCCATCTCCTTTGTTATGTCCTTTTATGGCTCACTGTATATCTCAGAATTGAATTCGCGCATCAGGTCTTTGAGGTTTTACATGCAGCGCCACCAAGTGGCCACCGCGGATAAAAGAATCAGAACTTTTTGTACATCGAATCCGACATTCAATTCGATCGCCTTGGATCTTTCCGAGTAACATTTTCTCAACAATAACAAATATCCGTCCTCCAGACGTTAATGGAACATTAAGTGTCCGATTAAGGATTAGTTATCTCTCGTGACGCGAGTGGTACCATTTCGACCCCCTTACGTAACACTGATATCACTATTCATAGTAATTCAACACACCCTTATCAACATTGAATTGCAGCATATAATAGTGAATGTATCCCTCTTTCAGAAGTGGATTGTAATAAAGAACTCAATATAATTAATGTGATAGACAGTATTCTTCCTAAAAAAACTTCATAATAAAGATATTCAAGAAGTTTATCTCACCATCAAGAATAATAATCAAAATTGAAGAACTTTAACCTATTTCGGATCATCAACTGAAAAATCAGCTTCATTTCTACATAAACAGGACTTAAAAGTAGCATATGGAACAAATAACACGTTGGGAAGGTTTATCAAAAATAATAAAGACAAAACTTCTAAATTCGAAAAATCAGGGGTATACAAACTCTACTGTGGATCTTGTCCTAAGGTATATATCGGTCAGACAGGTCGTACGTTCAATCAGCGCATTCATGAATACACGGTGAATCTCTTCAAAAAGAAAACAAAATCAACATACGCTAACCATATATTAGAAGAAAACCATAGTTTTGATGATAATTTCGAAATTCTACACGTAGAATAGGAATGAAACTCAATCATTCTGCAAATCTTCATGTACCTTCTCATCATAAGTCAGTACCGTGAAACGAGGTGAATGGAAACTTGGGGTGTGCGTCCCCAAGTTCAATGGAGCACTTGTTGAGTAAAATCACAAATTTCTCAAATTGAATTCTGGAAACTTCAAATTCTATATGGTTCTCGCATTGCATATTATGTGATCACAGATTCAGCGAATTTTACTGATTTTCCATTGGCAACACTGTTTTCCCTTATTTTAGTCGAACATATATGATCGTGACACCTGTGTGCATTGCTGAATAAACTTTATATTGTAATGTGAACAAAAATCAAGATATAATCTATAGAAAATTGGGACTGACATATCTTAATATATCTAATTGAAGTAATTGCATTCGAAAATCTTATATAACAAGTAGATTTTGTCACATATATTTTTCAAACAACTACCATCTCTTTTTTGTTATTGTTTTCATTCTTTGAAATTTTGAGCTATCCACAAATTCAATTATCCAATGAACTTGTTTCCATTCACCTCTCAAATGGTTCACAAACGAATAACGTGCTATAACAATCACTGTTTCTAGACCCCGCCTAGAGGGGAATAGAAAATCACCACATTTCAATAAAATAAAGAAACTGTAGAATTTTCTAGAACTCGCTGTTACATACCCTCGCACCCTCTCTTCTAATAACGATGACACACATTTTCTATATTTTTTACTTCATCAATAAGGTGAATATCAACTCAGCAACACAGTCTGAAAAGTCGAAAACTGTTTTATTGACCCCATACGGTATCAATCACAATATTCTTGCCAAGTGGAAGCTGTTATATCGACACTATTTCAAATTCGATTCCTCATGAAAACGAATTATTGAAGGTCAATCGCTCTCAACCCACTATCATTGCACGCTGGATTGGCACGTGGCAGCTAGAGTCCCTGTACCTTAGATAAGAGTCCGGACACAGCTATACTTCTGTCCTTTTCTGTTTTCAAAAAATGCATTGATGATTGAATAAAGGAATAAGACATATATATCGAGCTCTGTCTTTTCAATTCCCCTAGTATCAATGATAGGGCGAGGGCAGGTGACGTCACATGACAGCTGTCTTTAGCTGTCAATCAGCCTGCTGGACAAACAAACCATATTTCCATAAACAACAATGATAATTTAATGATATTATAATTGAAATTCTGAGGAAATTATAGGTTTTCACCTGAAGGAAGGGAACATAATGTATATTGATATCATTTTTCTACTTGCTTGCAAGAATACTGTTTGTAAGATGGCTGATAAAAGTGATTATTTCTATACATTGTCTATGGATCCTCCAGAAGAGATATTTAGATGAGCTGAAAGTAACCAATGGATGTGATCCCTATATATTGAAATTTGGTGATTGTATTGATGCTGTGAAGGACTTTCCTAAAATTTCAATGTATGACATAAACTATTTCGTATTTAAGAAGAGTGCATACACAGGAAGTAATTCAGTGCACTTGACATGCCTGAAATGAAAAAATATTTTCAATTTTCATGATGACTATGCTTCCTAGATTCTCAACATACTTCATACGAAATATTTTGAACATACTGTTGCCCATTTCAACTTCTCAGTAGTTAAATTTGCTCTTTTAATTGCCTGAATCCACAAAATTCACGTCCCTTTTCAGCAAGAGGATTAATATGTTTCCTATTATCAGAATTCGAAGGGAATCAATGGAAAGAGACCTTATCTCTGCCACTTCTACTTCCACATTTCACAATTGCACAAAATTGAGTCATAATGAAGAAAAAATATTTCAAAATATGACATAAATTCACAATAAGCATTTGTAGATTTATTTGTTTGTCCAGCAAGCTGGACTGACATCTGTCATTTACTGTCATCTGGCAGAAAAGCCCGCGGTCTATTGTCAGAAACACTTTTGAGGGTTAGATTATTCGTCAAACCGTTCATAGCCGTAGGTAGAAGTGAGAAATAGGGCTATTTTAACTATAATAACTATTAAATAATAATAATAACTTGAATCCCTTTTCTAATGAATTATCGCAATAATGTACGCAGCAGGACATTGAAATAATTTAAAATGCTAAATTTTGGCTGTCATAAAATTTCATAGTGACAGTGACAGAAATTCGAAATAATAAAAAAAGGGGGCGGGACGACTATGATGTTTCGTCACATTGTCAGGTGGGCAAACCAAATGAAACAAAATATTTATAACCCCAACAGCTGTCAGTTTTGTGTCCGGACTCTTGTCTAAGGTATATACAGGGACTCTAGTGGCAGCCAGTTATTGTCTGATTGTTCAAAATGGCGTTCCATCGATACATTCATTCGAATTACTCTGAAACTTGTCCAGAGGTACTTTCTCAGATGACATATTTATAGATCACCTTGTATCGCCTTATGCTCGGATATCTTCCAGAAGTTATCATGACCCATCATATTTCGTTATTAGTGAACCTAGTTTGTTTACCTTTGATAAGATCGTTACATCGAGATAACGAAATAATGCTCAGGTGCCAACATCCCGAAATCAATTTATATCGATAAACAAGAAATTTCTTGTTAGTGAGTTCACAACTAGAATAACAATATGTCTATCGACAATATATTCATCTGTGTCATTATATCTTTGGTGAGTGAATGAAAAATGTCTAAATGATAACTATTCCCTTCAATCGTTACAAATTGCATAGTAACAAGTGACTACTCGTTATTCGAAATATGCCAAATAACTTCCAAAAATTAGTAAATCATGCATATCTTTACACCTTTTTCAATTTTAGCTCAAAAAGCATAAAGTGGATTTCAAAAAGCATCAATTGAATTTCAAATCAGTCATTTCAATTTCATAAACTATCGAATGTATTCCAAAACTATTATCAATTTAATTTCAAAATAGGTCATTTGTATTTCAAATTAGTCATTTAAATTTCATGGAGTATCAAATGTATTTCAAAATCATTAATTCGATTTCATAATGCGTCAATTAAATTTTAAATTAGTCATTTCAATTTCTAAGAGTTTCATTTCGATTTCAAAATCCCTCATTTCAATTTCGAAATCCCTCATTTCAATTCCAAAACTGTTCATTTTTATTTATGATGCCACAATGACAGGAACCAGAAGCTGAACATTTTCCAATTTTAGTTCAAAAATGGCCAATTGTATTTTCAAATTTTCATTTGTATTCCAAAAAGCATCATTTGTATCTCAATTTTATTTCGAAGAGTATCAAATGTATTTCGAAATTATCAATTCAATTTCAAAATGCGTCAATTGTATTTCAAATTAGAAATTTTAATTCCATAAAACATCAATTGTATTTCAAAATTATCAACTTGATTTCAAAAACTAATACTTCAAATCCCGAAATAGTTATTTGTGTTTTATGTATTTGATGATGCATCATTTGAATTTAAAAACTGCAAAGCGAGGCAAAGGTTCTTTTTCAGTTTTGAAATTCAGTGAAGTATCAGTTTTTGAAATTGAGTTGATAATTTTGAGATACAATTGTTGTTTTTTTAAATTAAAATGACTAATTTGAAATACAATTATTGACGCATTTTGAAATTGAATTGATAATTTCGAAATACATTCGATACTTTCGATACTCGAAATTAAATTGACTGATTTGAAATATGAATGATGCTTTTTGGAATCCAAATGACAATTTGGAAATACAGTTTTATTAACCATATTCGAACTAAAATTGAAAAAGGCGTAGTGATGAAAGCGATACATATTTATAAGAAAAAACACTAAAAGTCTCAAAGTCTGTCGACCACGAAAAATATATTTAATATAGGTAGTGTAACTAGTTTCGGCCACAGCTATCATAAGACACAAAAATGATGTTTTCAGAAGTGCCTTAAGGAAAATTACGAAGGCGCTGAAGGGCCACCTATATTTTTTTTTGAATCTCGACTTTAAAGTCGGGGGTTCAAGATTAAAGTCGGGGGTCCGAGATTGAAGTCGGGAGTCCGAGATTGAAGTCGGGGGTCCGAGATTGAAGTCGGGGGTCCAAGATTAAAGTCGGGGGTCCGAAAATAAAGTCGGGGGTCCGACTTTGAAGTCGGGGGTCCGAGATTAAAGTCGGGGGTCCGAGATTTAGGTCGGGATCCCGAGATTAAAGTCGGGAGTTCGACTTTAAAGTCGGGGGTCCGAGATTAAAGTCGGGGGTCCGAGATTGAAGTCGGGATCCCGAGATTAAAGTCGGGATCCCGAGATTAAAGTCGGGGGTCCGAGATTAAAGTCGGGGGTCCGAGATTAAAGTCGGGATTTCGAAACTGAAGTCAGGAGCTAAATTATATTCGTTGAATATGTGGACAGAAATAAATAATTTCCATTGTTACTCATCAGTTTGACGTCAGCAACATGCTCCTGAATTTTCTACATGTACTTGAAAAACACCCTGTACATTTATGTACAAACAATAATTACATCCATTGGATAATCATCACATCAGGATCAGTCAAAATCCTCCTTTTTGGATGTACACTGAATGTCAAATAATGGATCACACCTGTACGATCATTATCGTACGTATAGGGTGATTGTTTATATTCCACTCAATAGCTATAAGAATCTCATTGTTGAATAAGTACAAAAAAATTGGAAGAATCGGAGTTGTTCATAGTCATATGAATTTTTTTTTCAGGTATAATGTCTATATGACTTTGACATACAAAACATATATTTTCACCAATGAACTACCCTGAATGTCATTCCGTCCTTGGGTAGAGCTCAGAAAGATGTTATATGATTACATTTGTAGGTATGAGATCACCCGTTTCGGACTATTTCCATAATCTTCTTCAATAAATAGCCAAATTTCAAAGCGTTATGAAAACGTTGAGAATCAAGTTTAATTAAGTGATGACGTATTTTGCAAACCGATCATTTTCTCGGAATTTTCGAATGTATTTAATTTCATTCTTGGATAGAGCTAAGAAAGACGAATTCAATGATATATGATAGAATGGTTCTGAGAACACCCGTTTCGGACTTATCCATGAAGTCCTTCAATAGGTAATCAAATTTCAGGAAATATGATAGAGTTATGAATAAATATAGTGATTAGGGATCAGGATCAACATGTGAACCATGACAGACATTGACTGCGCAGTTAGTGCACCTTTCACGGTTAGGTAACAAACCTAGTGTCTTCGACTTTAATGTCGAGATCCCGAGATTAAAGTCGGGGGTCCGACTGTATGTTTTGTATGTCAAAGGCATACAGACATTTCAGCTAGAAAAAAATTCCAAATGACTATGAACAACTCCGATTCTCTCAATTTTTTGTATCTATTCAACAATAAGATTCTCAGCTATTGAGTAAAATATAAACAATCACCCTGTCCGTACGATAATGATCGTGCAAGTGTGATCCATTATTTGACATTCAGTGTACAGGGTGGGCAGAATTGGGCGTTTTCACGGGCTATCTCAATAAATAAAGGAGTTATCGAAAAACCGATATACATGTTACGGGTTCGATTTTAGGGAAACCCAAAATGGCGCATTCGGAAATTTCATATCTTCATTCCTTCCAGAGATACAGGGGAAAATTGAAAAATTGCCGATTTCGTTTTTATTTTCTGAGTACTTCATGGTGGGGAATATTGGAAATTGCAGAGAGCTCATTCATATATTATGATGTGAACAACTTCTTGGCATCATTAGAAATTTTATACAGGGTTACATTAAGAAGATACGGCAGCCAATTATATGTTTCCTTATATGTTACATAAAAAAAAAATAATTGGATGCCGTATCTTTTTGAGGTCACCCTGTATAAAATTTCTAATGGTGCCAATGGATTGTTCGCATCATACTATATGAATGAACTCTCAAAAATTTTCAATATTCCTCACCATAAAGCATTCAGAAAATAAAAATGGAATCGGCTATTTTTCAATTTCCCCCTGTATCTCTGAAACGAATGAAGATATCAAAATTCCGAATGCGCCATTTCAGGTTTCTTCAAAATCGAACCCGTAACATGTATATCGGTTTTTCGATAACTCCTTTAGTTATTGAGATAGCCCGTGAAAACGCCCAATTTTGCCCACCCTGTACATCCAAAAAGGAGGATTTTGACTGATCCTGATGTGATGATTATCCAATGGATATAAAATTATTGTTTGTACATAAATGTACAGGGTGTTTCTCAAGTACATGTAGAAAATTCATGAGCATGTTGCTGACTTCAAACTGATGAGTAACAATGGAAATTATTTATTTCTGTCCACATATTTAACGAACATAATTTAGCTCCTAACTTCAGTTTCGGAATCCCGACTTTAATCTCGGACCCCCGACTTTAATCTCGGACCCTCGACTTCAAAGTTGGACCCCCGACTTTAATCTCGGACCCCCAACTTTAATCTCGGACCCCCGACTTTAAAGTCGGACCCCCGACCCCCTAGAAAAGCCGATCTCACTGTGCCCAACATAAGCTTGTGAGGAGTCATGATACCATTCAAGACATCCATTTAGATGCTTGCTATCACTATCAGCAATAACTTTTCTTGGGAAAATCACGTGAGATCAGTTGCTAAAAGTGCATCCCAAAAAACTTGGTTTTCTGTTTCGAGCCAGGAGCTATTTCACTTTCAGCTGATTATGATCTATAAGGCACATATCCGACCTGTTCTGGAATACTGTTCCCATATTTGGAGTGCAGCACCCAAACATACCCTGAAACTGTTGGATTCTATCCAAAAAAGGGCAATTCGCCTCGTGGATGATGCCTCGCTCACAAACTTTCTCACTTTTCTGGAACTTCTGGCTCTTCTGATATATCAACAATTGTTCCTCCCATGGCAGTCCCCGCGAGATTAATCTGTCGAGTTGAGGCTTCGCACCCCTTCGTGGTCACTTTGGAGACCTGCAGAACATCTCTTTCCAAAGACTCGTTCATCCAACGACATCGTCAAGGGAGGTGTTCCCCAAGGCATATAACCTCCAGAAACTTAAGGAGAACACCAATTCCTACCTTATTTCCCTTGGTTCTCACGATGTTCTCTGAACATTACTGGATATCCCATTTCGTGGGAACCAGAACATAAAAAAAACTTCGGGAAAATAATAGTACCAGATATCATTATATCGGGCATACCGAGCTAAGCTCAAAGAAAGAACAACGAAGTACGGAAGTCAGTTTTCGAGATATTCGACCCAAAATAGAAGATTGCATAGTGATATTTTATCATTTTCAGTAGTAGAAAATTGCAAAAAAAAAATTCTGGTGTTGAGTTGATAAGATACTATTCCGATCCCATTCTGTAGCTGAACAGAAATAGTTATTTCACGCATAAAGAAAAAACAAGAACTTTCGTAATCTTCTACTATACTGAAGAAGATGAAAAATTACTATGGAAACTTCTTTTTTGGGTCAAATATCTCGATAACTGTTCATTTTAGCTCAGTTGAAGATGATGCAGTTTCTCAACATGATTGAACAAACAATTAGAGAAATTGGAAATAATCGAAATTTCATCAGTGGCGTAGAAAATATGAGAGAAAAAGTTATCACAACCCTCTGTAGCGCACCTCTGGGTGAAATTCTCGGAATGTCTTTCTGATCAAAAAATTAACCATTGAAAGATGAAACCATATACCGAATTTGAATGCATTATATTAAATTTTTCTTGAGATATTGCGAAAAACCTATTTAAATCTTAGTGATTATGAAATCACGAGGGCTATCACCTGTCAAGCGTTGTAGGTCGAATTCTGCAACAACCTGTATATCATATATTCCCCATTTATTTTATTTTATTCATTTATTTATATCTTGCAATCAATGTATCGCAAGATATTGACTTTGTCGACAAAATGTGTTCATTTTAGACAATAAAGCGTATCTATCAATCTATAATGGATGCTAATCTTTGGAGATCAAATGATGAAAAATCAGTAAGTTGGAAATATATGTTCTTTCATTCATATATTCATTGTCGATATGCATATATGAATAAGGATGTTAGGCAGCCGCGTGGTTGATGCGTTTTAGTATTCTATCGCGTTCGCTTGCCGATCGTGCGTTCGAATCCCCGATAGCAGAAATTTTTCTGATGGCCAAAGAAAGTGTTTGGCATCACATGTTAAAAGGTGAGGCCACGTCATTCCTCGCTGGCACAAGTCTCTTGAAGACTTCTGAGGGTTGCTAGTAAGGGGGCAACCGAATGAGCGTTTTTAGAACAATATCGTTGATTTATGTCTTCTTCAGTCCACTTCGGGTTCTTGTTCCTGTAAAATAAGAGAAATATCATAAGTATAGCTATGTAAGGGTATTCCGTAGTCGAAGCTTACAGTGTAGAAATCGATTGTCCATAATCCAAATCCTGTTCAGATCAACTCTGACTGGTAAATGACGCCTAATTTGAAGCGATATTGAATTGCTAGGTAGGTACTTTTTCTTTCTAGCCGCCCAAAATAAATTACAACCTGTGGGTTGATGAAGCATAAAATAATAACTGATAACTATAATCTATGATAGCTATATGAATTTGAATACACATTCGAACATGCATGCTTTCATACCTACTTTGGATGATATGGTCCTGAATATTCTGCATTCCATAATTCATCACAATCACAACACGTCATGCTCACCGTCTTGTACCAACTCAAAATGGCGTCACGACAGTTGTTACTCCCGTATAGAGTGTAGAGCCCACAGGCTCGTTAACTGCCCCTTTGTACACCGACCGATCCGACCTTGAATTCTTGTCTTCAAGTCATCGTGGTAGAAAAATCAATAATCATACGTCCATCTTTGAACGTACAATGAATGTTCATATAACGTCCATGAACCTCAAGACTTGGAATAATTTCCAATAGGTATAAGGTTTGGATAATATTTTTATACTTATAAAGAATTTGCATTCCTCAGAAAAAACGTCCAATAAACTTTGGCCTTTAGTTGACGTAAACTGAATGGCCAATGGACGTTTATTCTGGAACAGACATTGTATGTTCGTCCATCTTCATTCATACAATGAATGTACATTCTACGTACATGAATGGTTGTACATCAAATGGACATCCATTTGACATATACAATTTGGAGCATACAATGATTATATCTATGTTTGTACGTACATTGCATGTCCAGTCAATATCCATGGACGTTTGGAATTGAAATGAACCTACAATGGACGTCTGATGGATGTCATGTGCTGTGTGGAACCGTTCCATGTTGTGAGGCTGGTCGAAATGAGAGCCTGGGTTGAAATTTCGATTTTAATGTTTACTATAATTTATTTTCAGATATCTACCAATGGAATTGTGCAAGTGAATTCCATCACAGTAGAAGCTACCTACCCAACAAATACCTACCCAACGTCTACCTACCCAACAACTACCTACCCGAGAACAACCTACCCAACAATTACCTACCCGAGAACTACCTACCCGACAACTACTTACCCGAGAACTACCTACCCAACAACTGACTACACAAGAACTACCTACCCGACAACTACTTACCCGAGAACTTCCTACCCAACCACTGAATACACAGGAGCTACCTACCCGACAACTACCTACCCAAGAACTACCTACCCAACAACTGACTACACAAGAACTACCTACCCGACAACTACCTACCCGACAACTACTTACCCGAGAACTTCCTACCCAACCACTGAATACACAGGAGCTACCTACCCGACAACTACCTACCCAAGAACTACCTACCCAACAACTGACTACACAAGAACTACCTACCCGACAACTACTTACCCGAGAACTTCCTACCCAACCACTGAATATACAGGAGCTACCTACCCGACAACTACCTACCCAAGAACTACCTACCCAACAACTGACTACACAAGAACTACCTACCCAACAACTAGCTACCCGAGAACTACCTACCCATCAACTTCCTACCCAAGAACCACCTACCCAACAACTACCTACCCGAGAACTACCTACCCAACAACTGACTACACAAGAACTACCTACCCGACAACTACCTACCCAAGAACTACCTACCCAACAACTAGCTACCCGAGAACTACCTACCCATCAACTTCCTACCCAAGAACCACCTATCCAACATCTACCTACCCGACAACTACTTACCCGAGAACTACCTACCCAACAACTAACTACACAAGAACTACCTACCCAACAACTACCTACCCAAGAACTACCTATCCAACAACTACCTACCCGAGAACTACCTACCCAACAACTACTTACCCGAGAACTACCTACCCAACAACTGACTACACAAGAACTACCTACCCAACATTTACCTACCCAACATCTACCTATCCAACAACTACCTACCCGAGAACTACCTACCCAACAACTACCGACCCTACAACTACCTACTCAACAACAATAACTGCTAGGCCTACTCCAACCGAAACAACCGTCACTCCACCTTGGTGGGTCTCTACAACAACTCCTTGGGATGACACGACAACAGGACGTCCTTCAACTTCAAATTCTACCACCAGTTGGCCATCAACCACCGAGCCTAGTACTCCATCTGAACCTGATTATCCACCTAAACCAGATGCTGGAATCGAAATGAATGTGTTCATAATCAAGGATAATCAAGAAGTGAATTTTGTAGTGAATCATGATATTATACTGCATAATAATAATGCTCGAATGAAAAGTACTATGATGAAGAAGTTGTTGAATCAATTAATCGATTAGGTTAATGAGTATGAATTATAGTTCGATACTCATCGGTATAAAACATACAAGATATCAATTAATGAGTCTGAATCATAAATACGGTGTGCTTCTAGACTAAAAATTCGATCTCTTCGGCATTTGAGAGGAACATAAGTATTTATTTTTAGAGAATGTATGCAGAAATGGAAGACTATTGACAAACTTCCCAGTCTAGTATATTTCGAATAGAAAATCTTATATATGTTGTTTAGAAATAAAAGCTAGTTTGTGGATCATATCGTTGATTTTGTATTCTATTTTCTTCCATTTTACATCAAAAGGCAAACTCAACAGGCAAGCAAAGCTGCCCAATGGAAGAGTTGCACAAAATAACAAAAAAAATCTCAAATTGGAACTGTGCGACATTTAACATAATTCCTTCGGCTCGTATGTTAACTTACCTCGTACTCGTGCATAAATAGCCATCATGATTGTTGCATGAAATATTGTTATTCAAGGTGATGAAATATTGTTCCTAAACAGTTGATCAAGTATGACACCATAAGTCACCTACCTTCCTGTGGTTTGGTTGGTTATTCAACTACGTGCCCCACAATTGAAGTGGGATACCTAAACTTTTCGCTCGAGTTTGTAAGATTATAACTTCTGAGAAAATGATCCGATTTTAATTCGGTTACCAGAATCCAGAAGCTCATTCTATTGTCTCGAGACCCATGAATTCGAAGAACTGAAAATATCATAAATTAAAATTGTACAGGGCGATTAATGGTACACTGTAAACTTGCATCGACTTTGGGGTCACCCCATTCCGTCCAAAATGTTCTGCTTTCTTCATGATATTTCATACTTATTTTTACTTTACTTATTTTTGACATTATCCAATAATGTAAAGTCTATGGAAATAAATGTATTGTATTGTATTGTATGGAGTTCAATGCTATATCTCAAAATGATCTTTGATTTCCATTGATTCATCACATTGTCTCGACAATATAATTTTATTAGTGGAATGTGTCAAAAATAGCGAATTTGTGTTTCAAAAATTGTTACGAGGGGATTTTCACGGATGCGTAATCCATAAAAATATCGAATCACTTTTTTTACATACTGTGTTTCGAGATATTGACTTCTGAACGCATCCCTACTGTCCGGATGATTACACAAATGATTATTTCCGTTGCAATAATGGAGAATGATGAGATATCTTGAAACAATTTCGTTTTTTTTTTTTTCGATCGAGTCAATGATTCCAGAGAGGTATTTTTTTATCATTATATCTCTATGATCGATGATTCAAATTTTTCTCGATACGAGGTGCATCGGAAAACCATCTTCAAGAATTTATAATCTCAATTATTGTAATCGGTCCTCCATGTTTTATGGATGTTGATTCATCAAAATCCGGATAGTATAGAAGTGAGTTTTCTAATATTTCAATCATAGTGCGTTTATACGGAGTATAAATCTGCTTTTGAAGTTCCGAGAGAATTTCCATAGTTTTTGGTTAACTGTCGACGTGAATACCATAGTACAATACAATACAATAATACAATACAATACGTTTATTTTCCATTAGACATTTTTACATGTATAGGAATCGTCAGATTGAAGGCTTGAAACTAGACAGTTTGAGACAGAGACATTTGAGATGGAGTACTCAGTTCTCATTTCTCTCAATATCGGTACATTGAAACATTCTGTATATCATGTCGAAGCCAACAAGGATTAGAAAATGGTTTGTTTTTATAGAACTATCGTTTTTTGCATGAACCACTTCTCTGCATGCGAATATACAGTCTGTCCAAGATAAGGTTGAACAGCATGGGGATCTCGGAAACGGTAGGAGATACGAAATCTTTTAATTTGGAGGCTAATATCAAGAGCTTTTGAAAATTTCGAGAATTATTTTCAGTTTTTGAGTAACATCGAAAAAGTTAATTTTTGGAATATCTATTTTATTTTTCTCCTCCTGTAATATTCGAGATACAAAAAAACTGAAGATACTTTACTATAGCAACTTTTGATGACGTTCAACGTGGTGATACCAATTTTCTCATGCAACGTTTCGTATCCATAGAACCATCATCAACTTTTGTTTTTTGAATACGATCCTGATAATTTTTTCACAGATTCTGAAAGGTTTTTTAATCGTAATTCAACCATGTATTTAACGAGGTGATTCGAATGTGTTTCGACCTATTTCTATCCATCATCAATGTGTTTTCGAACTTCCAAAGGAAAAAAGCCATCAGTACCACTTATTTCTGATCATTTTGTGTCAAACTTGATGAATTAGTTATTCAATACTGAAAAGTGAATCAAAAATATTTCACTAAGACATCGTTCGATCAATGCAGCGCTTATAATTGTTGATGAATTCTTACACGAATTACTTTAACAACTTTACTTTGACAATACCTACAGAGACATTCATAACAAAAGTTCAAAATGATAACCATTATTCCCTGAACAAAGATATCCTCTTCTCACAGTTGCTTCTAAGACATTGCTAAGCATTTCTGGGGTTATTTTATTGAATGCTTCGAAGACACTGTCCCTTAGTTCTTCTTCAACATTAAAGATATTTGTGTATACAAAGTTTGATATATCCCCTAAGAAGAAATCCAGCTGTGTCAAATCAGGCGACCGCGCCGGCCAAGGGACTGTAGAATGAGTACCAATCCATTTTTCTTGATAAAAACGCACGGATTCTCTGGAATTATGTACCGGAGCGCCATCTTGTTGAAACCAACAGTTCTGAACTTCCGCAATCGGTAAATCATCCAGAGCTTCCTCAAGATGATTCTCAAGCAAATTTCTATAACGTTCGGAAGTCTGTGTTTCATGGTAAATAGAAGGACTAATAATTCGTGTACCAAATATTGCAACCCACATATTAAAGCCGAAACGGTGTCGGTGCGTCTCGCTGTAATGTATAAATGTTCATTTTCTCGTGGAACTGATGGCATGTTTCCTTTGGAATTTCGGAAAAACATTGATGATGGCTAAAAATAGGTCGAAACACACATGAACCACCATGCATAATACATGGTTGAATTCAGAATAAAAAAACCTTTGAAATTATCAGGACCGCATTTAAAAAACAAAAGTTGATGATGGTTCCACGAATACGAAACGTCGCATAAAAAAGTTGGTATCACCACGTTGAACGTCATCAAAAGTTGTTCTAAAAAAGTATTCTCAGTTTTGCTGTATCTAATAATAACGGAGAAAAAGAATAAAATAGATATTCCAAAAATTCACATTTTTCGATATACCTCAAAAACTAAAGATAATTTTCGAAATGCGCAACTTTTTCTCCATTTAAACGACTTCGTATCTCCTACGGTTTCCGAGATCCCCATGCTGTTCAACCTTATCTTGGACAGACTGTATAAGTGTATATTGTGTTCGGATTGTATTTGCAGTCGAATTGGCAAATATAGCCAGATTATGGAATTATAGTTTTTCCATTAGAAAAATCGTAGATGCTGTCATGTCATTTCATCTCATGAAGTTTCAGACATTTTTCATCAAGCGAATTCAACACTAAATTGATAGGAATCACAGCATTCCTGTTGAATACTGCAATTTTGAAAGTTATAGAAGGTGTTCAAGCGTTGATTACCTGCGAAACGTCTTCACTCATAAAGTTTCACTCATAAAAGATCTCATGCATTTCACTGTTTAATAACATGTATTGTCTCAGTGTGACTCCATATGGGACACACGGTATGTGAAACTTCATGATATCAATTTTCTCGATAGGTCAGTGTAATCATAGTACTTGGATCAAAACTCGTTCTGAATGTCACCTAAATACCTCGCTAATTATAGTGACGAAATTATTGACCCGATCAGGAAAAACTCGAAGTTGTTCCAGGATTACTCAACACTCTTCTTTATTATGATGAGAAAAATCATTCGTATGATAATCCAAACAGTGGAAATGCGATCAGAAACCTGAAACTTTGTATTCCCATCTTCATATACAAATAAAACTTGAGGCTTGAATCGAACTCTGAAAATTACCCTGTATTGGTCAGTATATGAAAACCAAGTGATTCGATCTTCCTATTGAGTACGCAACTGTCAAAATACTCTCGTAACATTCATAGAACAAAAAACACTCTATTTCTGACACATTCCACTAAAAAAATCATATTGACGAAACAATGTGATCCATCAATGGAAATCAAGCACCATTTGGAGATATAGCATTGAACTCCATGAAACATCATGAAGAAAGCAGAAAAAAATGGACGGAATGGGATGACCCCAAAGTCGATGCAAGTTTACACCATTAATCGCCCTGTACAATTTAAATTTATGATATTTTCAGTTCTTCAAATCCATGAGTCTTGAGAAAAAAGAATGAGCTTCTGAATTCTGGAAACCGAATTGAAATCGGATCATTTTCTCAGAAGTCATAATAATCTTACAAACTCGAGCGAGAATTTCAGGTGTCCCACTTCAATTGTGGGGCACTATATAGTTTAGTGGTCGTGTGGCTCTTTTGAGCTTCTCGTCACTTCGATCAGTGTGTTGGAATTCATTTCGAACCCATATAACGTTGTTTGTAGAAAAAAGTCTGTCCTCATTAATATAACAATAATTAATTCTCGTATATAGGTACACCGGTAATACCCGTTAATTATTGTGACAATTTTACAAGTACCCGATGTTATGAAAATAACGCAGTAGGCAGGTAAATAGCTTTTAGTCATATCTGTTACTACATAAATCTTACGAAACTGTGTTATACTGATATAACTTCCACTGTCATAATTCGAATGTATTCTTGAAAAAAGTTACAAGAACGAGCAAGGTCGCGCGAAGACATGCAAATAATGATAAATCCCATTATTACACAGATTTTCATTCAGAATTAATTGTCTAATATCTGAATAGAATTATATTCGTTTACACGATTGATATTTCATGGGTTCAAACCTTTGTTGGACGTGCTTTTCGAGATTCTTTCTTCAAATGTCAAACAATCAAAAGATCGAGGAGCT